GGGGGGGGGGGGGGGGGGGGGGGGCATTAGTGGCCCACCACGCTCGAAACCACGTGGGCGTTAAGACGGAAAGCGGGACGGGGGACAGGCAAATAGCTCTTCGGGATGGGAATCTCGGGGTATCCTCTCGACCTCTAGAGCCAGGAAAAGCTGCCCCAATCAGAGCTGTAGAATGCGCGACTCTTGGTGCTGGCCCTCAAAACGCGTTGTGCGAACGGAGCAAAACCCCCGTCGGTGCAGACTTCCTACCGCCCGGGGATGGAGATCACACATCCCTGGGGTTTCAGGGACACGCAGTCCTCGCCCCTTGACTGACATGCCTTCTCCAGGAATGAAAGCGACATGTTTGCCTCCCCCCCCACCCTTGCCCACAAAGTATCTATCCATAGAAGTACGTTCTTTTGTTCTCTGATGCTTCCATCCGGAGAAACCCTTGCCCCGTGGTCGGTGAGACAATCATTGCCGCTGCGGAAACCAGCGGCTGTGGAACGCTACAGCGGGGCCACGACAGCAAGGCATGGTGTGTGTGAATTGGAGGAGCTGGGGTTTTGAGGGGAGAGGAGGGCGGGGGTGGGTGAGGATCTTCCCACAAAAATGACGCTTAAGTAGTCTTGTTGTCAGCGATGCCGGCGGCGGCACAACAAAAACTACTCACAGAAGATGGACACTCGCCGCCCCAGGACCAAGTCATCCGCCAGCAGGTACACAACGATCACGCCGTAGCTCGCCAGGGTGACGGTCATGTACAGCAGCGTGCGCTTCATCGTCTCGTACTCGTTGAACTGCTTCCGGACCCACTTGAGCTGGCGGGCGCACACGAACCTGTTCGTTCGACAATGCCACCCACCCGCACCGGGCGGCGGCGGCGGAATCGATCTCATCAAGTGCTTTTCGGGGCGGCCAGCAGGAGCGACCAAAAGCTGGCGAACGCACGATGTTCGTTGGGGATCAAATGCCCATACCTCACCTCTGCAGCAGCCGCGAAGCGTTCAGCACCTCGACCACCACCATATCCAGAGCGACTGAAAAATGGGCCACCACTGCCTCTGTGGGACACCCCAACGGTTGCTATGCTGTGTAGGTTTTCCTCGAGTAAATCAGTCTTCACTCGAGCACCTGCTCCTTAGTCAAGTCCTTAAGGCCGCACTGGGGATAGCAGTACTCCCTCTTCAATAAAACAGGAAACGCCTGTATATCTCGGTTTTCCAAAGTCTACCTTCAGTACGAAACTTCCATCGCAAATTAACCGTCCGCCGACCACCCCTCGTGTACAATGTTAGTAGCTGAGGTTGTAGCCCTTGCGATACACTACAGACTAGCGGTCCGCGATTTTCAATTGGTCATCCTTCTATCATCGAGTTCGGTGAGCTACAAGCTAGATTTTTGAAGCTGCTGTGCGGTCCGATTTTGAAACGCTTCAAGCACACGGTGAACACGAATCACCGCCTTTGTGAGTGTATGGGACCGCGAACTTCAGCGCAGCTCTTCCCTCACATATCCAGCTGGTCGCCATTGCCGATTTCAATGCCTGGGGTCATGTATATGCATGTCTAGCCTTCAAGCAAAGGTGCTTGAAGCATTTCAAAATCGGACCACACAGCAGCTTAAAAAATCCAGCTTGTAGCTCACCGAACTCGATGATAGAAGGATGACGTATGGAAAATCGCGGACCGCTAGTCTGTAGTGTATCGCAAGGGCTACAATCTCAGCAACTAACATTGTCCACGAGGGGGGGTCAGCGGACGGTTAATTTGCGATGGAAGTTTCGTACGGAAGTTAGACTTTGGAAAACCGAGATATGCAGGCGTTTCCTGGATTTTTCAGAGGAGGTACTGCGATCCCCAGTGCGCCCTTAAGTTTCAAACTCGTTACAAGCCTGGGTTTCTTTGCACTCCCAAGCTCTTAAAAGCGCTGGGGCGGCCTGTCTGAATCGCCAATAACAACAGCAAAAAAAAGAAAACAAGCACACAACACAGCAGCGGTGGAAGTAGCTCTTGACCTGCCGCCCTCACCAAAGGTAGCAGATGGCGAGGAATCCCAGCGCGTCCATCCCAAGCACGACAATGGCCGAGAAAGTCGTCGTGGAGCACGTGTTGGCCGCCTCGTCGAAGTAACCAGTGTGGGGAACGGCCCACGTCGCCACGACGGGGATGAGGCTCAGGCTTGACATGAACAGGATTTGATGCCTGCCGTCGTTTCAGAAGGAGAAAAAAAGAACAAAAGACGCAGGACGAAACAGCGGAGAGGGCCCTTACTACGAGCGTCGGGACGGGGCGAACTTCTCCGTTTCGAAGATACCCACCCCGGTGTTTGTGTAGCCCGAAAAATATCAAGGTGCAGCTTAACAAATGCACGAGTTTCGCTTCGGAAACGGCACACGCACAGTTTATGACGGGCGCGGGGGATCGACCAGTCGGATGCGGTCGACACACAATTTTCTTAAACTTTTGGCGTAGTGTACCCGGTACACACCAAATACCATGGCACTTAATGCCTTCAAATAATTCTCGTCAGATACCTGTACTTCCGACTTGACAGACAGGCGCCAAAGAGGACCGACTCACCCTGTGTGCCACATCTTGTCGTCGTGCTTGATGAGGATCCTCCACGTCCGGTACACCCGGATGAAGAACGACACCGTGTGGACGCACAGCGTTGACCACGAGAGAAATCTCTAAGGGGCCGACCACGCATGACGGCGACGATGGCAGGCGTGATAAAGGGCAGCCCGCAACAAAAACGTAGAAGCAGCAGCAGCAGCAGCAGCAGCAGCAGCGGCGGCGGCGGTGGCAACGGCAGAAAAATACACCGGTGAGGCACGGGCTAACGACGAGCGATCCATGTAAAAATTGGGGTGGTGCTGGTGTCACGAACGAGAACGATACGGCGCGCCTTTCCAGCCTTCGTCATGGCTGCATGAAACGATCGATGGCAAGGCACGCAAGACCCCTACTGCCGCAGCTAAAATGACTGGCTGCAAGGGTGCATGTAATAGCACGGCCTCAACGGTGAGACATTCCCATCCAAGTAGAACAAAAAACCATTCACCAGAACCACGCTCTTACATGATACATGATACCCAGGATACGCACAACGAGATGCCACATTCCGAACCACGCAAAAAAAACACACCGTGTCAGAACCAACAACATGCCGAGATTCACATACCAAAAAATAAAGTTTTTTTTTCGTTGAATCTGGCGTACCTCAAAGTCGCAGGCTGCCAGGATGTCCCCTGCTTCCCGCCTGATGTAGCCGCTTGAAATAATCATGGAGACATTCCACAACACCCCCGAGAATGTCTGCGGAACGAAACGAAAGAGAGCAGAATAGCCCCAAACCAAGAAGAGACGCGAAGGCACCAAGAAAAAGACATGGGTAAGGAAAATACGGGCACCAGTCGTTCAGTCAAGGAGACAAGAGACACGCGGGCTGCGGCAACGTGTGTGTGCACGGGGACAAGAACAAGAACGAAAACTCGTCTAAAGAAGGCATCAACATGCCAGGCACAATACATTATATGCATACAACGAACCAAGAGGGAGAGAGAGCGGCTGAAGAACCACCACCACAATGACATCAACACCTGCACCATCAGATTGGTAGATATGGTAGATACTACAATACCACGACACGAGAGGACCGCCTTCCAACTTCCAACTCCCCGCTTCGACGGCCATGCCCGCGGCAAAGTTACACCGCCCCCCATCCCCAACCCACCCACCCACCCCCGGCAGCACTCACCGAGATGATGACAACGTCGACGTTCTTGGTGACGTAGGGAGGCCACTTCCGCCACCGCAGCAGGTGCGCGCAGACCAAGAGAGCCACCGCCTGGAAGGTGGCCACGAACCCGAGCACCCAAAAGTCCGGGGTGGAAAGGGGCTCCCAAACCTCGCCCTCGGCCTCCATCTGTTGTTTTCTTGCCTTGAGAGCCCCCCCCCCCCCTCTCCTTCTTGCGTCACCCCTGTATCCTTGATCGGGACTGCATGTCGATTCCCAGAGGCGCAACATGCAGATAGATACCAGGGGCGACAACAGAAAACGGTTTGTGATTTCAAGAGCAGGTGCGGTATCCGGCTGTGGTACAAATCATAATCATGCTACGCAGCAGGGCCGTAGCCCGCTTCGATTCGTCGGGTGCAAAGAGTTTTGGTACTGTAGGAGGTGTGCGGGCAACACACGCAGCACAGGATCACGCTGCATATGTATGTAGGATCGAGAGCAGCAGCCGCTCGCTGTGCAAGAGGAAGCCAAACAGCGGGCAGTTCTCCGGGTGCGGTCGCTATGCTGGAGGAGTGTCCCCACCCCCCCACCCCCCCCCGGCCCCCTTCACAACGCAGCACACTACAAGGGCGGATGAACAAAATGATACTACTTGTACGACGGTGTACATGCCTACATTGCCGGCAATGGCGGGAAACCAGAACTCAGACTTGTACTGATGGCGCGCGACGCACCGATCTCATCGTTTCTCTACATCGTACCGTATCTCTTTCTGATACATCTATATATTCGCACCCCGGATGCGTGCGAGAGCGCCAAATCTGGTACAGAAATCCACACCGCTCCGTTCTATGCATATATAGCTTTTCGAAGGGTGGGATGCCGAGGAACGCACAGCGGCCTCACTGGTGCTTGGAAAGATGCTACGACGGTGTTCAACACCCGGCACCCCGGTGCGATGACACCGACAGGAGCGACACTTGAGCATCACCAAACAGCTTACTTGGTACCACCACACCAGACCTACGTACGGGGCAAGGCACACACCGCTACAGCTAAAAAGGTGGACCCGCAACCACGTTGCGGAGTGTAGCACGAAAACTTCCGCCCGAACAAGGGCAACGCCGATCGATAACAAATTTATTAGGAAAAGCTGAAAACGCAGAGAGACTAAGCTTACCCGTTCGAGATATAACCACAGTTGAAGGGGATGTGTTGACGTCTTTGCAGTGGTGAGTGGAGGGAAACCGGCTGGGTACTGGGCTTATTTCGAGTTTGTTTTAAGCCAGAACACTGCCGATTAATTCCAGTGATACCAGCTGGTGCTAAGCACAAAAACGTCTGTATACATTGTAGGCAACACACATTTTACAACGCGGAAGTCGAGGATATTTGGGGGCCTCGTGGAAGTGTCGGTTTGAGCATGCCTGGTACAGCAGCGCCCGTTTATTTGGATCTCACTGGGCACGCGGACTGAATCGCCAAGTCTTCTGTTATTTGAATCGTGCCGGTGTCCGGTACAGCAGTGGGTCTTTCTGTGTGTGTACAATTATTTTCCCTAAATAGTGCCAGTCAAGTCTCTGGTACTGCTGTTGTTGCGATATACTGGCGCTAGAAAGCCCCCCCGGGGGCGATTGTTCAGACGGTCGGGGCGAAGACCCCCACGGCGGCGTTCACGCGCACGAGGCGTTTTGTTTTAAATAACAGATAGCAACGACCGCGCTAAACAGACTTGGCTGATCAGTCAAGAGAAGGCCAGAGTGTTCCTGGCGTCCGTGGAAAAAAGGATGCGTACCTGTAGCATTTTGCTTTCTGCATGGAGTCACAAAATTGCAAAAAAAAATAAAGGAATAATAAATAAATACACACACAGAAAGAAAAAAAACTACTCATTCGAGATACTTACAGACAGGGGCGCAGAAGTTAGAACAACAGGTGGTGCTTCGAAATTGCAAGCGAGAAATAGAACACCACCAAGCAGCATCTGCGTTGCTGCTAGTGTAGGGTATATATATATGACTTAAAGGTAATAAATAAGTAATATATTTGTAGTCATATATTATTTATCACATGTTTTTGCGGCCGATTAAGTGATATATTACATGTATTACATCACTTCCTGAACGATCGTAAATATGATCTTATCTATTACATCAGGTCAACATCACCTACCATATGATTATATTTATTATCACATGATAGGGTAATATCGGAATATATTGCTGCTGTAGTCGAATGTAGTGTGTAGACGGGTAGTTCAGATTTTGGGCACGCAAACGTGCTGCAGGGATGTAGTCTAGGTGTACGTACCTCTTCGGGCTTGCGAGTTTTTCTTGCTAGTTTGCGAGTTCTTTGGATCTATCTCCTGATAGCTCTATTAGCATTCTTTTTTTTATTTTTTAGTATGACACAACGAATCCATCTCTATCATAGAAAAGAGTCTGAGACAGATTAGCAATGAATTCATAGCGTTCTTGTGACCACGGACCGCTTCTTTGCTAGATTTTGGGACTAGCAACTAGCACGAGTTTAATGTGAAGACCAGACAACAACCAACTCAAGAGCAACATACCGATCTCCGATCTCCGATCTCCGAACTCATGCGGGGTATGTCCGAACGTCTAACACGGATTTTGAGTTCGGAAGTACAAACGACAAAAACCACAACCAACAGTTGAGCCTGTTACCCGCAGGGGAGATGTCCCTATATGCTGTCTTGGAAACCGTAGACATACAGGTACTTTCTGACGCTATGAATTCATAGCTAATCTGTCTCAGACTCTTTTTCTATGATAGAGATGATTTCGTTGTGTCATACTAAGAAGAAAAAAAAAAAAACCACAACCAACAGCAGTCAACAGCTCAAGGGCGAAGCGACAACTCCCAGGGGACCTCCCGCGGGAGCGACTCCTCCTGGCAGCCCAGCTATGGAACACAGGAGGAGCATACGCCGTCTGCGGCAGACCCCCCGCTCATCTTAGCCCCGGACTCGCAGCCGGCCCTGGCGGATGGACCGCAGAGTCCTACGACCGATCCAGAGTCTGTATCGCAGCCTACTCCGATCGATGTTTCGAAGGGCAACACGACTTCAGTGTACGGAGTACCGTATACGACACAAGATAACACACCCCCTAGATCGATTTTTAAAGCTCGATTACGCCACGATGAAGAGGGTGCATAAACGAAACGAAACGTTTCCGGAAAGCTCTCGACGAGACAGCTTCAGCGCCGCCGTCTTCGGCGCTGTGACTCTTTCTACTGATGAGAAATCGAGCTTTGAAAATCGGTCCAGGGGGTGTGCTATCTTGTGTCGTATACGGTACACAACACGGCATCGAACGCGGCAAATGGCAGCCCAACCCGAACGGCAAGGCGTGGTACTGGCAATTGTTCTACACGTCTACTGAGTCCACGGGTAAACTCAAGAGAGTCGGAGGCTTGTGTCTCCTCTGCCGTCATGATGTGTCGGCAACCACCCCGTCCAACCTCTTACACCACACCAACACCCACCACGCTAAAGACGAGTATGAGCCTTGGTTACACATCGATATAATAGTCACGAGTATGGCCAGGAAGTTCCATGCATTGCAAGCGCCTCCGGAAACGGAGCAACGCACAACATCTGCCTGTGTTCATGGCCCACAGCGCGAAGCCACGCAAAGGGGTGGATGGAACCACAACACGGCGCACCAGCAGCTCGTTGTAGTTTATAGCATTCATACTTTGGTACTTCGAAGTAGTTTTGTTTCTGCCTGAAGAGTGACGAAGACAGGGCGAGAGGGTTGGACAGACAAAGAGGTGGTCTGCCGCACTCCGATCCGAGAGAGTGAGAACATAAAAAAAGAGGGAGGCAGCCAGTCCGTCGGTGGAGAGATGACACCACACGCACACACACACACATCCGTAACCATAGGAGGGGTCGCAACAAGAAGCACACCGCACCGCACGAACGCGTCTGTCTGTCTTCCCATCCGTATTACATACTTGTGGTTGAAATATTGTTTAGGCTCGGACCTATTTCTCCCTCGGTCAGGAAACCATATCGATAGGTTGGAATGTTGCAGTTTAGCCTCGGAGTCTATTTCTCCCTCGGTCAGGAAACCACATCGAGAAGATGCAACTCAAAAAATCCGACGCTCTACTTGCCAAGGGAGAGGCTGTAGATACGTACATCCGTGGGGTGCACTCAAGCACCGCAGGGTGCCCGCTATCTTTGCGTCTACGTTACGCGCGAGATACCCACATCCCAAGGGGGGCGTCATGGCGTAACCAAAAGTTCGCGCACACGCGCGCATTCCGAACACACCTCTCTCTCTGGATCACCGCTCAAGGCACCAGCTCGTCCTCGCTTTTTGCCGCACAACCGCTCCTGATGAGCTGATGAGAGGAAACACCAACTACCACGCCCGTCTCCACAACCGCAGCCCCTGCTGCTGTTGCTGGCTGTTGCCGGCGTGCGCGAGCCCCAGCAGACGCCAGAGGTCCAACTCCAGAGAGAGAGAGTGTAAAGGTTGCCCCGTGTCCGATTGATGGTGGATGATTGATGATTGATGATGACGATGATGGTTCAACCTATCCTACTCTTCATGTTCTGGGACCATCGGGGGACATCCAGCATCGGCATATTATCGGAAAATCTAAAGTAACACCAGTCTTTCTGTGTGTGGTTTTATTATTCCTTAAGTGTTTGCGAACATCTGATTTGGGTCTTGTCTTGGTCTCTTTTATTATCCCCCCGAGCGCCGAAGTCCGATGGACCTTCTATCTGGTCTTTTTCTTTCGCGAATTTCCCCCAAAGACCCGAGAAAAGCTTAATTAAGGAATAATATAAACACACACAGAAAGACTAGCCATTCGAGATATACCCACAGCAGTCGAACGGGATGTGGTGGAGTCTTTTCAGTGAGTGGAGGGAAACCGGCTGGGTACTGGACTTATTTCGACTCTTTTTAAGTCTAACACTGATGATTTATACCAGTGATGCCAGCTGGTGCTAAGTACAGAAATCGTAGACATACAGGTACTTTCTGACGCTATGAATCCATTGCTAATCTGTCTCAGACTCTTTTCTACGATAGAGATGGTTTCGTTGTGTCATATTAACAAAAAAACAAACAAACATCTGTCTCCGATTTTGTCTTGCTCAGTTTTGTCTTTGAAAGAACAATTTTTCATTGGCCTACACC